TTTATTATTTTATAATTTAAATTATATTAAATTATAAAATAAAAATCTTTTGATAGAGAAGACTCACAATCTCAATGTCAAGGATTCATTTATTATTCATAGGTTCATATTTTTTAGTTTAATATAATTTAAATTATAAAATATTTTTAATTATAAAATGAAAAATAATATTTTATCTTTAATAAATTGTATTAAATAATAATAATATAATAAAACAACATATAAACCATACACTATTCTATCATTATTTTTCAGATACCACTTTAGATATCATATAAATTTATAAAATTAAAATATAACAAATCACTATTTTTTAATAAATAACATGATAAATCAATTAAAATATTGCATTGAAGTGACAATTAGTTTTTAAAAATACTATCAAAATCCATTGTGTTTTTCAAAAAGAAAACTTATTTAAAAAAGGTTGTTATATAAAATAATTTTACACTTAAATACAACAAGAAAATTTAGTTTTATCAATAAAAAAGTGGTTTGTGAGACAAAAATTAAGAGGTAAAAAAAATACTTTAACAGTGGAATCAGAGAAATATACTAAATGAAAAATTATAATGACTAAAATTTTTTTTGTTATGTTATGTTAAGTTGGTTTTTTCTTTCTTTCTTTTTATTTCTTGATCTAAACTTTACAGTGCTATTTGTGGCATTAGTTACATGCTAATTTTTTTTTTAATTATTGAGAAGTTTTATCATTCCTTGCTAATATGTGAGCAAAAGTTTAATATATATCTCTTACGCCCAAATACCTTCTAATTTTAACTACTAGATTAATAAAGAGTAATATAATAAACTTCTCACTAATTATAAAAAAAAAGTTAATATATAACTAACACCACAAAATAGTATTGTAAAATCCAAACCAAGAAACAAAAAGAAAGAAAGAAAAAACAACCTAACATAATATAATAAAAAAATTTTAATCACTATAATCTTTGACTTAGCATATTTCTTTGATTGTTGTCTCATAAATCATCTTTTTGTTGATAAAACTAAATTTTCCTTTTGTATTTAAGTATAAAATTATTTTATACAACAACCTTTTATGAATAAGTTTTCTTTTTGAAAAAATGCAATAGATTTTAATAGCATTTTTTAAAAACTAATTAACACTTCAATTGTAACACCCTACATATCTTAGTGAATAATTTAAAAATTAGTATCCTTTAGTTATAGTTTTAAGAACTAAATTGATTGAATTTAAAGTTTGAGGATTTTAAATAAAATTTAATAGAAATTGAATGGTCCTAACTCAATTATCCCAATTTTGCTTACCGCATTGTCCCAACCAAGTTTTTTTTCCTTGTTGGTGGGACTTGGATAAGCCTCCAGAAGGCTCCCAAAAGCCCCCCATTCTTTTTGTACTGCGCCTTTCTCTTGCACCTGCATCTTTCTTCCTTCTTTCTCCGGCCAAGGTTAAGATGTTTTTTTAAGGAAAATATAAGTTTTAGTTATGAGTTTAAGGTTAGAGTTTTGGGTAAATTAAATTGGTGAGATTTGACCCTAATCCTTTGGTTTATAAGATTTTTGGATATTAAAATTTCATTAAAAATATCTTTAATTTTGGAGCTTATATGGGAAAGACAGTGAGTTATTCCTTTTTATATTTGATTTGGATGTAAATTTTTACTTGTTGGAATTATAAGTAAATTGTTCTGTTCATGTGTACTGTTCATGAATTATTATTTATGTGTACTGTTCATGATTACTATTTATACGTCACTATTCAAGCACTATGCTTTAATCTCTTTCAATAGGAAGTCCTAATATTATTTTGGACATATTCTGAATTTATTTGACATGCGTATGTATTTGTGGTTATGGAGTAAGTGGATTTAAACTTAAAACTTAGGGTATTGAGTATACCTTTCGGAGTATTTAGTGGATCTCTGTACAGTAAGGTTAGTACTATAATTAACTCCGGTACAGTGTTGCTAGCACACCTTAGTGGACTCCATAGCATTGTGTGATTTTTGATTTTATGCATTGCGCTTGTGACATTATATTTGTGAGCACATGGTTTTAGTATATGAATTTAATTTAAATGTCATTGATTATTCCTTGATATGTGTGATTACAATTTGAGATATTAAGTTATTATTTAAATACTAAAAATTATAATGTTATGTGGTTTGGTTCTGTTGTATCTCGTGCTCTTTATGTGTATAGGTCTAGGGATCTTAGAACCCAAGTTTATAACTCAAACTTATTACTTAGCGGGCTTTTAGGTCATAAAATCCCCCCCCCATTTTAGATCAATAGATCGAGGTAACAGCCTCTCGGTTTAGGAGCTTTTGACACGGGACTCGCATACTCGTTGTATGTACAAACTAGGGTCTCGTGTTTTTTATAGGAAGGCAGATTGATGTGTTACCAAAACAATAACTCAGCTTTTGTTCTTTTGAAAAGCTTTGGAGAAGAAATTGCCTTATATAATTTTTGTGTAAATTACATTTATGTATAAAATCTTTATATTAATTATAAATGAGTTTATCTCAACTTATTTTATAATTTTGAATATTTTGGCATTTTTCCAATATACATATATTGATATTTTTTTGTTAAAGTGATTTTCCTTTACAGGTATCTATAATCTTCTCTTTTGAAAATGTAAATTGATTTTCTAAATACAAGCTTTCTTTTGAAGAAACATTTTATATCAGAAGTGTTTTTACTTCCGTTGTAATTTTTTATTATAAATCTTATTTTCGAATTCTTCTAAGACTAAAAGTGTCTAAGAAGGGGTGTTATATCAATGCTATGTTTTAAGTGATTTATTATGTTATTTATTAAAAAATAATAATTTACTATATTTTAACTTTATAAATTTATATAATATCTCAAGTAGTATCTTAAAAATAATAAATAGAGTAGTATACGATCTACAAATTACTTTATGATATTATTATTATTATTTAATACAATTTATTAAATGTAAAATATTATTTTAGTATTTTATAACTAAAAAAATTTTGCAATTTAG